GGTACGGATCTATACCCGGCTGATTGATCTAAGGAACTCATCCAGCTGTTTCTTGAAAGAAGCCTGGGTGTCAGCTTCAAGAGCATGGCTGGGTACTCATCCCAATAAAGGACATAGTCCTGCTGCGAATGACTCAAGCGTGGGGCTCTTACTAACTTTTTTTTGGTCATGATGGATTGCCCAAGCACTAGGAATGTGGATCGCTTTCATCCTAACCCTGCTGATCAGGTCCTGCAACATTGGTTAATAAAAGAGTCATATTCCATTCCATTCTAAATCTTACAGAGTTCACAGGAGGTAGAAGACAGCCTTTGGATGATAAACTGAATAAAATACGAAACCTATCTCTGGTACTAAAGATGACACTGTTAGCGTGTTTTGTAAAACTAGGAAACTTTTTTCTTTAAGCTCAAAGAACCATTTTCTAATTAGTTGTACCAGATGTCCCCATCATGTTTGTAACCATCCTTATGTTCATGATTTCCGTATGAAATCTTATGACTCCAAACCAGACCGATGATGTACAATGTTAATCAAAATCAAATGACAGCCTATTGGATTATTGCTATTTCTCTGGATAAATTGCCCTATTGCACCAGTATTGAAGGTTTACTTTTTATTACCTTCTTGGGACAAAAAGTGGAATACATTTTTGTAATTTTATTTTAAATGTGTGCCAAATCTGTACCAACTATAGAACTATGTATCTGAAAAATTAAATAACTATACTGTTTTAGACAATACTCAGCACTAAGGTATATCACAATCATATGTACCAGTAACCACAAAAACATGGTTTCAACTTCAGAGATCTTCAGTCTGTCTGAATGAGGGGTGATTGTCTTCTGCTGCCATAAACCATAGCAATGAAGCTGCAGGACAGCAGATGCATCCTTGAACATGCTGAAATGTAACCCCCTCAGCAATCAAGACCCTTTTAAAATTGTTCAATTAGGGGCGGCCAAAACTCTTACTGTACAGCCACACTGCCCAGAAACCATGAAAAGTCACCCTTTAGAATCAAATTTATAATCAACTACTAATGTCCTGGAACACAAAGGTACAGTATGTCTTCAAACAATTTACCCAGCTGTGTTCATGTCTGCTTTCCAGATGCACAGTTACCAGCTTGAGCTAGGTGAACAAATTAAGCTTGTTTCAAGATTTTGGGTATCAATTATTTGGTAGCCCATAATACAATATCTTCTGATCAGTGGCTATCCACGACAAATTAACTCAGATAACTTTAATTAATAGTACAATAATAGGTTAATAGTAATAGTTATTTCTTAGCTTGCACATACTGTAAATTGTTATAATGAACTGGCAGTAGTAAGATTGTTGTAAGATAATGCATAGTAAAATCTTTATGATTTATACTTCATGGTGCAGATATGGTCCTATTCTTTGAACATAGAAACATTATCCATATGACTATTACAGCATCAGTATTCTATATAAATAGCACAACCTTTCTGTAGTAGTATGAATAATTAAATTCACTTTAACTATATATTTATATTTTTTTCATTATAATTGTCTGATATTAAAAAACATTTCCCTATATCATACTGGCTTGCATAAATACATCCCAGTGGGTGGTAGTTTATAGCCTAATTATTCACCTCTCCTAGAGTTAAATAATTTTCAAAGCTCAAAACATATACAATATATTTCAATTTTAATTTTAAATATAATATACAGTATGAGCTGTTAAACTATTTGAATAATATATTTTTACTATTCTCCTTCGGGGCTAATGAATTTTCAAACCATAGACCAATCAATCTAAGGAATTCAATCAGTAAGGAAATTTTAAACTAATTCAAATTGATCAAATTAAATTATTTAATGTAGTCAAGGTGTCAGCACTAAAAAAACACATTTTAGAATCCGTTTTCTGTGATCACTG